CTATTAAGGCTGGGAAGTTGCGTGATCCAGTTTATACTGAAACTGGAAAGCGTAATAATGTGCCATTTGCCAAATTCATAAAGAGTTTAAAAACTAATCAGGACGAAGATGAGATTACCCCCGAGCTTCTAAGAAAAATAGGAGCTAAACACGCCTCGATGGTTCATGCCGGTCCAAATCCAACCCCTCAACATCTCGACAATCTTTCAGAAATCGCATTAAGACATAAAATTAACCGTCTTGATGCAGGAAAAAATTACGCTTTGGGTGATCCAAAATCGAAGAAGGAGCCCATATCTGATTCTGAAAATACACCAAGCCTGGTACCTCAGCTTAAAAATGATGATTATAACCCTTTCAAGGGACAGATAGCAGAAATAGATTCAATGTTAGTTGGTTTCTAAAATTATGTAATTAATATATTATTCGAGATCCTGCCAAAATGGGGCAGGAGTTGCGCCTGAATTTCGTCAAGAAGCCTATATAATTGGTCTTAAATTAACATTGGATAGATTGGCACGGGAGCTAGAGTTTGCGCTAAAAGATGATTATTCTAAGCCAGCCAGTCCAGAGTGATCACCAGCTCAGAAGAATTTGCTGAGCCATGCACAGCGCCTTCGGCCAGATTGTGCGACAATAACCTTATTTTTTTGACTGAAATAATCTAACCATATATAAAAAATGCATATAGTTAATTTGCTAGAATGTCTTCCGCCAAAGTTAATACCATTTATTATAAAGGATCTTTCAAACCAGGATCTAAAAAATTTTCGCAGTATAAATGATATATGGGTAAAGGAGGTAGACTTTGAATGGTCTAAAAGAAAGACTCTTTTTGATTTTCAGACTGGATCATTGGTTCAAAGCAACGATACGGTAAAAGACTTTTATTCGAAACTAAAAGAGTACAACAAAAGTGTGGGCTATCATGAAGAACGGCTCAAATAGCTATTCCTCAAAGGAATATCGTCTGAAAATACATTTAAAGTTCTTTTGGATGGGTTAGAAATACTTGCGTTAGATGAGATAATGAAAAGGCTCAGTCAGAGCAGTGATCTACCAGCAAACTAGATTCGGCTAACTTTATTTTTTCGTTTAAAGATACAACATATAAAATAGAATATTTATGGCGCATTCAAGCATTTTTAATTTACCGGAACTATTAGAGCGAATTCTATATTTCTTAGCAATAGATAAGTCACTATATCCCGCTCTATTTGTATCCCGATTGTGGTACAGATGCGGTGCCCTATTCTATGAAGACGCATTGAGCTAAAGGGAAATGAAGTAGAGGATAAATCTCGACTGGAAAAATTTATGAAATTAGTACATGGTGTGGTATACCACTCATGGGGAGGGCGAAAACCAATCTATAGCTCAAAATTAACTCATCTTAAAATATCACATTACCCACTTTCAAATAAAAAAATCAAAGGCATTGTACATACTTTCCAAAATATAATTCATTTAGATTTCGAAGGAAGTACGGACTGTATTGGTAAAACTCTAAAGCTAATAGCGAAATCATATCCAAATTTGGAGTATCTTAATATATCTGCTTTACGTTTAAGATTTAAATCAGAAAATGATATAGGTTTATCTGCAATTGCAAATTCATGCCATAGATTAGAATATCTAAATATCTCTAATCGCACAGAATTTTCTGAAATATCAATTTGTAATGTTATTCGCTCTTGCCCAAGGCTCCAGCATCTTGACCTTAGCTTTTGTAAAATTAGCAATATAACTATTGAAGAAATTGCCAGATCATGTCTTAATTTAAAATATCTTAATTTGAGGGGGTGTTATAAAATTAGTAAAGAAGCCGTAGATCAGCTGGTTTCCTCGCTTAGTCCAAATATCAATATCGAGAATTTTGTGGATACTATAACGCCTCCTGATCTCATTGGGGTGGTTAGAAATCATCTTACACATAACAATGTTGCTAGTAGACAGATTTTAGCTCAGAGCCTTCAGAGCCTTTTAGACCTAAGTATGCGAGATAATTTGCAGTGGTATTCCGATCCAGGGTTGGCTAGATCAACAGTCCGGAGCAATGATACAGTAGTTATATTTGAAGATCTATGTGCTGATCATTAGCTCGGAAGACTTAGCACAGATTTCTGCGTAATGATATAATAGCCGATCACCGGACAGGGCCTGTACGACATAATAATTTTTGCATATATTCGAAAAACATATTAACCTTTATTCTTTATTTTTTCCCCAAATACAATCATGAGAAAATGTGAAAGAATGTCTACAAGCAACACAGGACCAACTCTAAAAGTAAATAGTGACGACAAAAGCATATGTTATGAAAGGCTGAGGGACACGCAATTACGAGATCGCCAGGCGTAAAACCAACTATGTCTTTCCGGTAGATCTACATGTGAAAAGGTATGAGAATTCTATTTGCATGTGCCTTCATAGAACTCTTGGCATCATACGACAATGCTAATCACTATTCTTATCTCCTTAACTTCGGCTTGGCGCTCTTTTTCCAGCAAGATATAAAGCATGTAGGAGTATGTGGAAGTTCAGCCAACTTTCCGCAAAAATAATATCCGTAAAATGTCACAAAATAAGGTATGTATATGCTAAAAGTTTTGTATACATGCAAGCGAAAAGTTCTCACATTGGACCATGAATTTAGGAAAGTAAGAAGCCTAGCACCTTCACTTGCTTCGTTCGTAGTGAGGCCAACAAAGATATTTTTAATGTAATAATTGATAGGGATTTGACCGTTAGTGACCTGGAAGCTAAGATCAAAACTGACCGGCCAGATTTAGAAGAAATAAACATCGAACTATATAGGAAAGATTTCTTTCAAGAAAATAATGTTCTAATCAATACTGTGAATAGCGATAAACCTGAAAAAAGACAAGGGGTATGGATGGACCCGCAAAAAAAAATTTCTCAATGCTTTTCCTTGGGGGAAGAAGACTATGCATCGCCTTTTCCTCTAGAAGAAGGTAAAATAGCCGGCTTAAAACCTATTAACATCATCATATACCCCCAGGTGGAGTTGGAAAAAAAGCCTCCCTCGGATATTGGACTCTAGCGAATCAGAAAGCAAACTTCGCGCGATCCCTACAGGAGATTCGCTTGCGCTGTCCATTTTCTGAAATAATTAGTATTTTTTATCATGCTATGTAATAGTTTTTATGTATTGTAGGCCGGCTACCGGCAACTATTTTATTTCATAAATAAAGTATTATTATCTTATCGAATGTACTGTATATGAGAAGCGGGTCACGTGTAATGATGCAATTCCTGTGCTACATAAAAACCTATATTAACGCCCAGTATTCCCTTTCCCGAACAGATATAAAATTTTATCTCACTCCGAACGTAACACTATTTTTTTGTCCGAGCCTATTATCACTATAAAAACGTAACACTATGTCTTCTGAAACCAGTACACCTTATACTCCAGCTTCCACCTCTACTACTGTTGCTGGAAATGAGACGGTCTCGTTGGCGGACGAAATTAAAAAATATGACACGGTCAAGCTTATAGAATTTTTGCAGGGACATGACTTAGGTCTTAGCGAGACGGCTATCAAATTTTAGAAGAAGAAGAGATTGATGGTCGTGCCTTCCTCAAAATGACCGAACAGAGGTTCAGAGATTATGGCATGAAGGGAGGACCAGCTGTAAAGCTTGTGGAATTTGCTAAGGAGTGTAAAGATAAAAAGTTGAGGTCGTTCTCCTCGTACAAGACTAAGAAAGAGTTGAGTGAGGTGTTGGAGAAATATGGGATTGTTAGCGGGGATATAACTCGCATTCCACAGTTCATACCACGTAAGTAATATCAGATTAAAGGAGTTCTTTTTTTTTATATATTTCGAGCTCACATATCATAATATAGCCATCCACACTATCAACGAAAGCGCCCCCGAATTTAAGCTATGTATTGACGACATCCTTCGTAGAATAAAAAATATGGGTCCAGTTGTAGATAGTAACGAAGCTATGCGGTGCGAGTATATTTCAACGATCTTACATACGGCTGTAAGTATTCTCGGCGACTTGGTAATCACACCTCAGGCAAATATAATTGGTGAAGAAAACACAGGCCGTGTCGACTATGCCATCAAAAAAATTATCAGCGAGATGCTGGAGGAAATAATTTGCATAACCGAAGGCAAACAGAATCAAGCAACTATAGGTATCTGCCAAAACTTACTACAATGCCGAAGTGCTTGCGATGTAAGTATAACAGATTCTACTAGCTCGCTCGCTATAGGATGATCATGGGCTATTGCTAATTTACTTCTCTATTTCCCTCAGATGAATATAAATATGAACAAGAAAAAAAGAAAGGTGGATGATGCATTCGATCCCGACTACGACTACGTCTATAGTATAGTCAGTACTGGAACTGACTGGTACTTCATTCTTCACAGCACTGAAGGTATCTATAGTACGAGCAGGACCGAGTATCGAATTTCACTTACAGAAGACGCTCTCAAAGATGATACAGAATTGCGTAAGAATGTGAAGAGGGTTTTAGAAGTGATCGTAGGATTATTAAAGGATAGAGCAGTAGGTAGTGAGGAACCCGCAACTAAGAAGCACCGTGTAGAAGAGATAATTAAGAAAAAATAATCATGTATATTAGATAGACGTCATGTATCACGGGCTAAGTCCCGATCTTGTATTTATTTTTGCATGTATTAATAAAAAAAAAATTGAATTTTGCAGGTATTTGATAAGCGAAAAAATATATAGTCACTCGAGTGGAGTCGAGGGGCTATAAACAATTTATTATATCATAATCCTTAGCATAATGCTCGCGCTAGAGCCAATATATGTTCTGACCCTAAAACAATAGTCTTGGTGAATGCATCGTATAAAGCACCTGGTTTGTGCTTTGAAGGGGCTAAATCCGGGTGATGGAGGAATTTCATAAGCACGTCGTTCCTCCAAGTTTTCATCTCTTCTTGCTCCCAAGTTATTCCTATTAACGTGGTCAAGTTATTAATGGAATAGTTCATTTGGATTAGATTCTGGAGCGAAGATCGTTTATTTTTTTCTAGAGTAAATAGACTCATTCCTCCCATAACAGCAGATTCTACACTAATAGGAACCCTTTTACAAATATCCGATCTACTCGCTAAGATAGATAAGGGTGGAATTAGAGCTGGGTGGTAGAAGTCGGCTAAGGGGTCCAATTCGAATTCGCCAACATACAAAGTCCCAATATCTTCTAGGTAATCGGAAAGCCTATCCACATATTTATAGCCTTCTCGAATCAACTTCTGAAATAGCTTTCCATTTGGGTCGATCCATCGGTCTGTTAAAATATTGAATACTGTTTTTTGCTTGTCCATAGAAATGAAGTAGTATGGTGTGGTATATATTTTTCGTTTATGTTATACTTTTTCCACCGAAGTTCAATTCGGATTTTTCCATAATTTGAAATCGGATTTTATAATGGAAGTGAAGAAAGAATATAATAAATGGATCGTCTTACCTGCCCACATATTAGAAAGGATGGGAGTACTTGTGGCCGAGTCTGCACCCGCTTGGCAGGATGTTCGCTCCACTGGAAATCGGGTGCAAATAATATGCTAAAATCTCCATGCAGAATATGTGATAAACCTACATTATCTTATACGGGCTATTGTTCCAAACATGCCAAAAAAATCTATCGTCGCCTCGAAAGAGAGAGACAACGAATAAGTTGATCCCAGCCGAAGGCACTCAGGGTAAGGGATCGTGCCT